ACATCTAAAGCATGACAACAAACAGCTAATAAATGGTTTAAAATACGTGTTATTTCAGAAAATAAAACTCGAATATATTGAGCTCTTAAGCACTCGCACGAGGCGCATACACGGGTTAGCTATTTTTGGGGTCGTTTACGGGTAGGGCCTGATAATTGGGTCAGGCGGGTTTCCTGACGGCCCTACCAAACACAGGACCAATTGCTAAGCTACATATTGAAGTGAAAGATATGAAGCTAAGCAGTTGGGTTAAAATGCTTAGACCACGATGGTCTGCGCGGCACGAGGTTCGTCGGCTTCAGTGTCGCATTCATCGGCATCACTGTCATTGCTGATCACATCTGCGCCCAAATTCGTAGCAGCAGCGTCCCCTTCGCTGCTAGTACCAGAGACGCCCTCGTTGTCATCATCACTGTCGACATCTACAGCCTCGTCATCTTCTTCACTGCTCGATTCTTCTTCTTATGTAGGAGGATCCTGTTGGAAATGGAACCTGACCCAATAATCAGGCCTGACCTGTATACGACCCCGTTAAAATTCTACCACCACCGCGACGGGTTGACGCAGTTTCTTGCAAACAACGAGCTGGATGTTGGTGGAGCTCCCATCTCTGCACAAGTGTCAATATGGCGACACAGCAACGACACGACACGCTCGAACTTCGACTTCGTCGAGTCGAAACCGTTGACAGGGGGACCTGTTTTGGCTGTACATCGGACTTTCTTACAATACGAAATCTTCGGCTGCATTCGCTCAATGCTCAAAATATCAAGCGGTAACCAGACTTCTTTCGACTGATGCAAGAAGTACAGGTACACTGTACTTGGTACAGTGGAAACGGTGGGACCCCAGGGTCAACCGAGTTTTGTTGGTGTGTTCCTTTGCTGTTTGCCATGTGGACACAATCGAACGAAATGGTGCGAGCGCTCAACAGCCTTCGACCAGCGGGTTATCAAGAACCAGGTGGCAGCGGGCGTCAACAGGACCTCTGTTAGCTTGTGCCCCGACTTTCGTGTCTCTTTGAAAACCGGTAGGGGTAGTCAGACTTAGATTTAGATACACGTGCACGTGGTAGATACAAAAAATGCCCAAAATAAGACCTAAATTTACCAGTTATTATGATTCGATGTACTTTTGGTGTGGGTCACATATTCTGGATTGTGCCCCGGGTATTAACGTTTAGAGATTCACGCTATCATAATTCCTTGAACTGACCTTCAAAATATCTACGCACCGTAAGCCGGTAAGCTGCTCAGCTTCTGTGAACCTTGGTGACTATGCTCATTCGGGTGGCGCTGGTAAACACCGGTTTGGCGTTACCAACCTCGACGATGAATGATCGAGTCAACGTTTCCAAGCTCGCTGTCGGTGTACAACTGAAAGTAAATTTATCAAATTTCACATCAATTTATTGTTTTAGCTTCTCGTCTTCCCACTCTATTGGCCTCCTGTCGAACGAGAAGACTTCAACTGACTACAACAGAGGAAGACCAGATCCTCTAAACGACAACTCCACCAGGCACACCGTTCAGCTTGCCCTTGGCCGCCGCCTTCACCTGAATGCCCGAGAATTTTCAGCCGGACACCGCATTCGGGCTCACCTCAATATCGTACAGGTTCGTGGCTGTGCCCGTCAGACCCGAGACGGTAACACCCGTAATCTGTGCCTTGCTCGTCGCAGCACCCGTGTAGCCGCCCTTGGACTTGCTGTAGTCCGAGTGCACCACAATGGCATTCATCACATTCGACAGATCGTTGTTAATGAACTTGACGTCTTTGACGAGACCCTGAAACCCAATAATGGTCTTGATACGGAGCCCGTTGTCACTGTCGTGGATGTGGTTGCCCTGGACTGTAAGGCCCGCCACGGTGGTAGTCTTGTCAACGGTGTTGCCTCCTAGAGAGCCAACCGATATATCGTTTTCCTCACGCGTCCAAGTCGTAGAGATGTGTGTGGGGCAACTCGTGTGTATTGCCTCGGTAAGTTCGAGGGCGAGGTGTGGCGGGTGTTGCACTACTCTGCAGAAAGCCGATTGAATACCGCTCCTGCTTCTATCTAAAACCGATTGCTAAGAATACGCTTCTGGTCTCGGGACCTTACCGCCTATCGGAAAACGGATCATCCTCAGCACTAATCTCAGTTTCCTCACGCGTCCAAGTCGTAGAGATGTGTGTGGGGCAACTCGTGTGTATTGCCTCGGTAAGCTCGAGGGCGCGGCTAGCGGCCCCCATGCTTGTTGCTGGCCCGTGCTTGAACAGGACGAGACAATACCATGCGACTTGAGAGATCGATTGTTGAATTCGCCGCTTGCATTGGGTACTCCTCGAAGCATCGTGATAGCCATCGTCCTAGCAACTTGATCGACACGCCGTCGGCCTTTCCCGTCATAAGCGCCGTAGCACCGCCGCTCCTCAACGAGTGTGTGGAATAGCTAGCTGGAGACACCCTTGCCCTTGTGGCCGCCGTTTTGATCGCCGCATTGACTTCGTGAGCGCTGAGGTCAGCACATAGATACTTATGTTTGGCCCTTCCGAGTGCCTGACGGGCACGGAGGACGTGCTGGAGTGCTCGGACTGGGCACAACAATTGATTGCCAGACTGATGCATAGATCGCCAAGCGCCCCGGCCGAATTGATCATTCTTGGCGCCACGTAGGCCGATTGTTACTGCTGTTGCACGCTGCTCGTCAACTGGGTTGCCTCGTGAGTCTGTAAAATTGACTTCAGCCATCCTCAGACAGTAAAAACTGCGTGTGTGTCCGATCTTCAGATACTCGGATCGGCGCACTAAGAAGAAGAAGCCGAGGAGCACGCTACCCCACAGGAGCCGGTCGCGAGGGCGGCTGAGATGCAGTGAACGTCGGAGAATCCGTAGGAACGCGGGTGTTATCGACATTTTCTTCGCTGTGGGGTCCGACATGCGCTTAATTCCTTGGAGAAGAACTTTTAATTGGGGAGAGCGTCCCAATTCCACGTCACAAAAGCGACGGTGAAACCAAAATACACTTGAAAGCTTCGCTTGTATCGTTGGATATTGATTTCTTTTTCCAGATGCATTCCAGCCGTACTGCCATAGGTACACTGCGAAAAGTGCCAGCTTCCTTAAACTGGGGCGTCCGCTACTGCTCAACCACGGTGACCAGCCCATTAACTTGAAGAAGTGTTTCCATTGTTGCCACTGGCCGTAGTACTTTCCTTGTGAGGCTCTTGCCAGAGCTTGACTGCACAGAGACGCTCCCAAACGCTGTAGAGATTGTCGTAGGGAGGAAGAACCTCGACCTGTGTCCATGAAAGAGCTAAGTTAGACCATGATTTCCATAACGGATGCGTATCCGTCCACGATCGAGACCCTGCGTCGGCCATGATGTTGAGCTTTCCGGCAATGTGCTCTGCTGAGAGCGCCAAGTGATACTTAAATTCGGCAAAGGAGAGCAGTCGGTTGTAAAGCTGGGCAGTCGGATGGCGGCTGAGACGGCTGTTGGCCCATGCTACTGCACTTGTGTTGTCTATGTGGATGCGAACGTGCACCGGATGTGTTTGTTGCTCGTGCTGCCATCGCGGCCCCCAGTAAAGTGCTGCTAAGACCGCGCTATGGAGTTCGCGAACATTGATAGAATTCTCGAATGTACCTGACTGGATGTGTTGGAGCTGCAACTCGCTGTACTGCACTCGTATATATTCTTTTCGTTGCGGCTCCAAGACACAAAGCCCTGACCCGGACGCGTCCATGTAGACGTGAGCACTTGGTGTGGTAGCTCCAGCAAGCTCTTCAACCGGGATCCTATTGAAATGGTCCTTGTAGTCGATTACTGACGTAAACCAGCGCAAGTCCTCGAACACTTCCGATTCCATTTTGCGACTGCCGAACAGTGGCGCAGTAATTGCAGCAACGTGGACACGCTGATAAAACGATCGTGCCGGCGGGAAGCGAGTCGTCACATGCCTCATAATACCAAGTAGCTTGTTGAGCTCCTTCCGTGTAGCTCGTCATCTTGCAACAAGTTCGTTAAGGCGCCGGCTTGCACCGCCCGAAAAGACCGGCGGGAACAGCACCGTCTTCCACCATACTCCTTAAGCACGCACCAAATCGTTTCTTTTGAGGGCAGAGCATCCGTGCAACGAGGAGTCCAACAACGTGAAGAATCTCGTGTGTAGAGTATGCTGCCTTAGCCTTCAAACGACGTGTAATCTGCTTGATAGTTTCACGCCGAAGGTCAGTCTGCCGTGCCTGAATGTTACGGGCGCGCTTGCCAGCTTGCTGTAGACCATATCGGTTCGTTTCAGCCGCGATAGAAACCCACAGAGACTTCGGCATGAAATAAAAGAAGGTGAGGATTGGCGATCTCCATAATTGCAGCAGGTCGGGCACAGGCCTTGCTTCTTCGGTGCCCAGTCCAGAATACGCAGCAGCATCTGTCTCGTACTCCGAAGACACTGGCGTCCACTGCATTCCTCGTAGTGTCTGCTCTCTCTCCGTTGCAGCGGTTCTGCTAAGTGCGTTATTGCCCAACTGTAGTGCCGCAATGAAAGCCTTGTCCATTTCAACTGCGTCACTGTCGGACAGGACGTCGTCATCTTCCTCGGACATCCCGGCGCCGGAATTGCTGTTAATATCACTCATGCCGTCGTCGTCGCTATCACCCGAGCTGTAGTTCTCGTAGTCACTCGGCTTCTCCCCATCCAGCAAAACATTCACGTCCTCTTTGCCTGATAACGGCGTAAGTGTCCGTCGTCGAGGTTGAGACGCAGCGGCTTCTTCTTCGTCTACATCACCCTCGCTCTCTAATCCAGAAGCCTCCGAAAGTAAATGCAGTCCAGCAGCGGCCTCGCGGGCACCGCCGTCTTGTAGATCTCCTGAGGAAAGATTGAATGCTCTGCTCACGGCAGTCTGCGACAGCTCGATGTCATCATCACTTGG